GGACAGTCACACCAGGGACAGTCACACCAGGGACAGTCACACCAGGACAGTCACACCAGGACAGTCACACTGGAGACAGTCACACCAGAGACAGTCACACCGGGGACCTCCACACCCACACTGGGGAGCCCCCTTTCTTCTAGCTGGGTTTTGGGTGTGAAGAAAAGCAACCGTGTCCCTTTCTGCGGGGCTTCTTTTTGCGGACTCCCCTTCCTGATCCTTGGACAGCGCATCCTTTCACCCGCTGTGGTACCTGCTGTAACAACACACCGTTTTAGATTCCTCAGTAACTTAGAATCCTGCGAGTGAAGCGAAATGGAAGATGTTCAAAAGGCGTGCACTCTTCACCCCAGCTCCTCCGACCGCTAGATCAACGGAATTGCTTCCTGCTGTGTTGGTGTCTGAACTTAGGGGGCCCCACTGAGCGCAGGGAGCAGTCAGAGGCTGCCTCCCTTTTCACAGAAGCCGAGTTTCGCGTTGTTATTAGAACGTAAAATATCACTTATGCAAATTTGCCCAAGTCTGAACCTCACACGCCTCAGGGCTCACGTGCCAACAGGTTTGCATCGCGTTCATTTCAAAGATGGTACTGGGGAGGAGGGGCGCGGATAATAATAACGGCTTTTGCTGTCTTTTCGGCAGGGTTGGGATGAGATGGTAGCATCAGGCTTTAATGTTGTGCTCAGAGCATTTCAGTCTAAACACTCAGTCTGCTGTAGGTTTCAGATGACATAAGATGAATTGCAGTATTAGCTCAGGCTGACCTCCACATTCCTGTGTCCTGAAGATAGCCTTGGTAGTCACCCTCTGCCTGCACCTCCCAAGTGCTGGGATCACAGGTGTGTGCCACCACACCCAGGGCCCAGTACAGGCTAGAGAGCAGGCCAACAAACAAACCACGTCCCAGCCCACGCCTATAGAGGCCTCGTTTATCTGTCCAGTAGGTTCACAGTGTGGTCTGCAGAGTGCTTTTGTTTCAAGGCGAGGTGACCTGAACAAATGTCGGGAACATGTAAAATTCCCTAGGCAGAACGGCCTTCCCAGTGGAGGGACTTCCCAGCCGCAGAGCGCAGGAAAGCAGCGTTCTGCTGGAGCCGTGATGCACAGTGGGGAGTCTGAAGGGGAAGTACAGGGTCAGAGGTGAAGTCCTTGACAGGAGAGCTCTCCAGACGACACCTGTGCTCTCCGCACCCCTGCCTTCCTGGAAATACATCCAAGAATCTCTCTGAAACCACCTTTTTAAAAAAATTAACTTATTTCGTTTTATTTTATTGGTGTTTCGCCTGTCTGTCTGTCTGTGTGAGGGTGTTGGATCCTGGAGTTACAGACAGGTGTGAGCTGCCATGTGAGGGCGGGAATTGGACCCAGGTCCCCTGGAAGAGCAGCAGTGAGGCATCTTTCCAGCTCCTAGTGACAACTTTGTCACAAACTTCCCAATTTCTCAGGACACACAAATATCCAAGAGAGAGTCATGGGCCACGCACTGCGTTATAGACAAGAACTTTCTGGGGACAGATAGGGAGATGACGAAAGGCTCCAGGGATAGAGAGCACATCCTGAAGCCAGGAGGGCCGGGCCCACAGAAACCTTACGTGGAAAAGTCCCACCTACTGTGCAGAGGCATGCGTCTCTGAATTGCTGCATTCTCTCCACATTGAAACATTTGCTCCAGGAAGGAAGAGGTGGCCTCAGGAGGTAAACAGAAGATCATATGTAGGGGAGAAAGGGAAGTGGGAAAGATCTTGAGGGCTCCTCCGCAGCAGTAAAAAACGAAAGTAAAGGAGGTGCAGAGAGAGACGTCTGAACTCCGGGTGATCTGACTTCAGACTGCCGTCAGGGCTCTAGGGACACGGTTTTCCGGGATTGTCACCCATGTGGTGAGCTCTCTGGCCATGCAGCTGCGTCGGGTCATCCTTGCTCCTTGTAAGTAACCCCTAACTGGTGTGAGTTGACGTCTGTGTGTCTGTGTGTCTGTGTGTCTGTCTGTGTGTCTGTGTGTGTGCTACACCACCCCAGGAAAAGTCGGTCACACAGCCCCTGCCCCAGCACCTAGCAGCAAATACCCTAAAGATCCTGTTTTCACAGCCCAGCCTTGCCTGCTCCCGGGACCAGATCAGCCCATAGCCAGCCAGCGGGATCCTAACTTGCCCCTCCCTGCAAGCTGCTGAGCTTAGGCCAGTCTTGGCATCCTTTGTACTGGCCCTGCCTCACCAGGGAAAACACTTAAGGAGAACCTTTGATGCTTCCCCTGTCCTGGGTCTGTTGTGTCCTCTGTCCCTCCTGCCAGGCTCCCTCTGCTCATTTTCAGTGAGTTGCCCCTATAAGAGGAGCAGCTGGAGATCCCCACCCCCCAGCTTAAGGTTTAACCCTGTGCAATGGTTTTCTCCCTGGGGAACAGCCAAATACTTCAGGCAGCCAGCTTCGGAAGCCAGCCGGTGTTTCCTGTCCACTCCCAGCAGCCGCCTGTGTGTCAGCTGGTGACTAGTCATAGCCTCGTGCCACCTAGACCTGCTCATCGGCACCCGAGTGCATCTCCAGGTTTGCACCCAGGCCCTTAGACTTGTCACCCCATTATAACAAGATTTTGTCATTCTCACTCGCACCCATTGTCCACTCCAGGCACCCCTGGAGCAAATGGATGGGTGTTCCTGCCGGCTCCCTTGGGCTATCGGGAGCTGGGAAGCTTGATTCTTAGTGTCTTCCTACACAAGGGCCCGCAGTGCCCCACTCCCAAGCCCCTTGGCATCCACTTCAGCATGCAGCGGATCTCGAAATCCCGCTGGTATGTGGTCATCTTTGGAATACTCTGTGCCTGTGTAGGGAGAAGTCAGAAGCACTCGGAAGGTAATTCCCATAAAAGCATCTTGAGCCTTTGCTGGATGGAGGACTGGCCAATGAATACTCACCTGTCTGAGTCCCTGGTCCTTCGCTCTGCTAATTTTCAGACATGGTTCTCAGAATTCTCTTAGTGGGATTGAACTGATTTATTTCTTTATTGATTTATTGATTATTTTGCTTTGAGTCAGGGTCTCATGTATCCCAGGCTAGCCTCAGACTCATCTGTATCTCTGAACGATTGTGAACTGCTGGAGGTTTTCCTGCCTCCACCTCCTGAGCCCTGGGATTACACACAACCACCCTCCGTTTATGAAGGGCTGGCGATGGACCCAGGGCCTCAAGCATGCCAGGCAGGCCCTCACTGAACTCCATCCCAGCCCCTCCCTGTCCGCTCGAGTGCCCTGCTTGTGGGCCTTCGCTGCATCTTTCTCTTCACACTCCTGTTCACTGGAAGGCTTCCTCCGACTCTCTCAAATACACGCTTGCACTTTGACTTTATCTCAGCCTTCCGTTTCTGGGAGACTCGACGTCTAGCACGCAGCAGCCATAGCAGGCACTCAGCTAGTCCTCCGCAGATCCTCTTACTGTTGTGGGATTTCTGCCTCACAGGGAGATGACTCTTTGACTGTGAAGGCTTCTGTTAGGAGCTGTTATCTTCCCACAGAGGATGATGAAGGGCCTTCCAGCTAGAAGTCCTGAGAAAGGATCTACGAGATGAAAATGTGAAGGGGGGGGGGATTCTCCCTCCTGTGCCAATGTGTTTTCAGAAGTGGAGGGGACTCAGGTTGGTTATGAAATCATTCACTCTGGTGAGCCAGCATGTTTCCTTTTATGGATGCTACAGCCCAGACTGCTGTGCCGGGAGTGATTTTCCATCATGTTCTCTATAGAGTTCACAGCAAAGCCAAAAATAATATAAGATATTCAAACCAACCCTAGACTGGAGTGTCGTTTTATAAACACTTGTGATCAAAACCATCCATGAAATAAAACTGTAATCGCCCCATGACCAGCATTGTCACCCCCCCTTTTATACGGGTTGGCACCAGGCTAGTGTCTTTGTGTCACACATGAGGAAATGAGTCACATAAAGGACGTGCTGAAGACTCTGAGGCTGCTGTCGGAGGAGAGCTGGAAGACAGTGTTCACCACCCTCCACGTGGGCTGAGCCCGACACAGGATTCCTAACACAGCTTCAGACTCTCGGGTCTTTCTGATAAACTTTTATAAGAGAGTAAAACTGTGGTTAATGAAAAGGGTCATTGGTGCTGGGGAATTTGATGAAGTTTTATGTGGTTCAAATGAAACTGTGAAAATCAGATTTTTTAAAAATAGTTACTGGGCATTTAATAGGGATGATCAGAACCAGGTTAACTTTTTGCATAATTTTTGCATAGCTATGAATATAGTTCAATAAGAGGTGTTGGCCTCCTGGACCTGTCCCCTGGGAGGTCTCCGGACTACAGCACGAAACAGCCTGCTGGGCTACACAGCCTGCTGGGGCGGAGGGGAATGTTTGGAGAGGATCAAGGTTCAGGCAGCCTGGTGAGAGGTGATTGCAGACTGAGACGTGGCAGCAGGAAGTAGGGGATAGTGGTGACCCAAGCAGATAGGCAATAATGACTGGCACCCTAGGACCAGTTAAAGGGACAGTCAACTGTTGGACTATAGACGTGAGTTCAGAAGTCCAGAAACGCTTGCTCAACACGAAGTGCTAGAACCAAGTTTAAAGAAGCCCAGCAGCATAGTGAGCTTGGTAAGGACTCACTTGATCTACTACATGCTGTGGGATGTTGTGTGCTGTGAATGTGTTGCTCTGATTGGTTGATAAATAAAAAGCTGAGTGGCCAGTAGCCAGGCAGGAAGTATAGGTGGGATAAACAGACAAGGAGAATTCTGGGAACAGGAAGGCTGAGTCAGGAGACTCCAGCCCGCTGTCCAGGGAGCAGCAGGTAATGGCACACAGGTAAAGCCACGGAATACATGGCAACATACAGATTAACAGAAATGGGCTGAGTTTATGTGTAAGAGCTAGTCAGTGTTAGGCCTGAGCTAATGGCCGAGCAGTTTTAATTAATATAAGCTTTTGAGTGATTATTTTATAAGCGTCTGAGGGATCCGTGGAGCTGGGCAGGACCAGAGAAAACTTCAGTTACAACTACATCTAAGGACAAGGTTGCCAAAGAACAGATGAGAAGTTAGAGTTTATTTTTTAGGTGGAGGTGGTGGTGGTGGTGGTGGTGGTGGTGGTGGTGTGTGTGTGTGCGCACAAATGTCTGTGCACATGTATGAAGGTGAGAGGCTGAGATTGCCTTTCTTCCTCTGTTATTCTGCCTTATTTATTTATTTACTAATATTTTTTAAATTTGAGACAGGGTCTCTCATTGAACCTGAAACTCACCAACTGGCTAGACTAACTGTCCAGCCTCCCCTGCCCCGTCCTCCTGTCCTGCCTCCCGAGGCCAGGGTTGCAGGTGCGAGCGGCAAAGCCTGGCTTTCTGGCGAGTTGCTGAGGCTCCAACGCAGGTCCTCCTGTTTGCCTAGCAAGTACTTCGCACACTGAGCCGTCTCCCCAGCCCCTGGAGTTGTTTCTGGGGCTCTAGTGGGAACATTTTCATCCGTTACGAGGTGGGAGGATGGATACAGAGGCAAAAGATTTGACAGTAATCCCTAGGAAAGAAAACATCCATTTTTAGGAAGTAAAGGAAAAGAGAAGTTCTTCCCTTTAAAGTGGGAGCTGTGACGACAGGGTCACCGAGTTCCTAAATAATAAATTTCATTTCCTGTCTTGGGGTGAAGGATTTAAACTCAAGAATTGATTGGATTCGGTGCTGGGGGTGGAGGTAGTGGTGGTGGTGGTGACGGTGGCACACGCCTTTAATCCCAGCACTTGGGAGGCAGAGGCAGGAGGATCTCTGTGAGTTTGAGGCCAGCCTGGTCTACAGATTGAGTTCCAGGACAGGCACCAAAGCTACAGAGAAACTCTGTCTCGAAAAACAAACAAACAAAAGAATTGATTGGATTCTAAAGAGATCGCCTCTGAGATGAGTTCTTGGTTCTCATTTATCTAATGCTTTCATCAGTATTTGGTTGAAAATAGAAAATGCACAGCTATCAGATTAGAGAATGAGAAAATTCTGAGATTTCAAAACTTTAATCATGCTCACAAAGATTGCTAAGAAATTTGAATTTTAAAATGCAGTGCCATTTACATTAACGTATAAAAAACTTATGTATAAGTCTTAACAAAGCCATGCACAAACTCTGCACAAGGAAGACTACAAACTGATCAAAGACATTACAGAAGAACTGAATATATGGAGAGATTCCCTGTTCATGGATAGGAAGACTCAGTAGTATTAGGACATGAGTTCTTTCCAATTTGGTCTTTAGATTCAATGTAATCTAAATTCAGATGCTGACCAATTCATTCAGGTTATTGGTAGATTGGTTCTGAAGTTGATATGGGCAAGCAGTTGACCCAGGATAGCAAGCACAATCCCAAAGAAAAAGATGACCGACACTATTCAACTTCAAGGCTTACTGTAGAACTACAACTCCCAAGACCAGGACAGTTAAAGGAAGTGTTAGCCAGTGAGGCAGAGGCTCCTACACACAAACAGCAGCTGACCTTCAATGAAAAGAAGGACTTGGAGGCACAGACTGGAGGCCAAAGCAGGAAACACTGACTGCAAGAGGAAGTTCTGCTCAGGCCACAATGTGAGTAAAAGACCAGCCAAGGCAACTCAGCAAGACCCTGTCTCAAAAATGTTAAGAGGTATGAAAGGGTGATAGGATATACCTCAGAGAAACATGTACAAGGATCTTGACTCCATCACCAGCACCAGTTTTGGCAGTTTCTTGCAGAATTAAACATATAAATTATATGATTCAGTTTACCCTAAAGAATTCAAACTATGTCCACATAATGACTTCTACATGGATAGCAACTTTGTCCATCATGTGAAACCTTTAAGCAACCAAGACCTCCTTTGGAAAATGAGGTAATAAATGAATCATGGTACATGGTACTGTGTACTAAAAATTAAGAGTCTCGTGTCTGAGTTAGGGTCTCTATTGCTGTGAAGAGACACCATAACCACAGCAACTCTTATAAATAATACATTTAATTGAGATGACGGCTTATAGTTTCAGAGGTTTAATCCATTATCATCATGACATGGTGGTGTACAGGCAGACATGGTGCTGGAGAAGTAGCCCCTTGAGTGTCCTACATCTTGGTTTACAGGCAACAGGAAGTGGTCTGTGTGTCACACTGAGCTTGAGCATAGGAGACCTCAAAGCCCACCCCCACAGTGACACACTTCCTCCAACAAAGACCACACCTCCTAATAGTGCCATTTACTTTGGGGACCATTTTCTTTCAAACCACCACAGTCATCAAATAAGAAAATGATATGGAGTGGTGGGCATATCACCAAGTAGATGAAGTGACTGAGAAGACTATACACAGTATGAGTGCAACAGGATGGCATTCTGAGACTTCCAGGCCAGCTTGGACTACAGACTGAGTGAGATCATTTTTCAAAAACAAAAACAACAACTTGAAAAAGAACCTTAAGAAATATAGAAAATCTGTAAAGAAACTGAAATCACAAGAGAGCAAAATTTAAAGCCATAACTGGAAGCCATAACACACACAACAGGATCCAGAAGAATGGGGAGACAAGGGTTTGCTAGCCAACAGGCTCAGATCTCATATAATCACAAAATTTGGGGCTTATAATCTCAGAGGAGGGGAGAAGGGATGAGGTAGGAGGAGGAGAGAACGGTTTTACAGGTACGCTTGGCGAGCTGGCTACCACTTCACAGACAGTGCAGAGGGACGTCTTGAGGATGTGTTCAGGCAGGTCATAGCAACTACTGCAGTTTAGGAGGCTCTGACGGGGAGTGGGCGGCACAGACGAGGCAGTTTGGAAAGTCGATTCTAGTTCTCTCTCGGTTTCTCTTTCTCTCTTTTCCTTCCTTCCTTCCTTCCTTCCTTCCTTCCTTCCTTCCTTCCTTCCTTCCTTCCTTCCTTTCTTTCTTTCTTTCATCTCTCTTCCTTTGTATGTTTTGCTTTTTCAAAGCAGGGTTTCACTGTGTAGCCCTGGCTGTCCTGGCACTCATTCTATAGACCAGGGTGGCCTCACACTCAGAGATCCGCCTGCCTCTGCCTCCAAAGTGCTAGTGTGAAGGGTGTGTGCCACCATGCCCGGGTGGTTATTATTTTCTTTTCTATAACATTTTCAAAGGAAGTTGAAAGAAGTTTGGTTAAACTGTAATGTGCTCTCTCTCTCTTTCCCCCTCTCCCTCTCTCTCCTTGAGAAATTGTTGATGTACTTTTGGGGAGGATTTAATTTGATCCCATGAAGTTCAAGAACAAGAGGTTTTCCTGTATGAAAACAGAGGAGACTGATACTGGAGGATGTGACGACATGGTGACTGGAGAGGACAGCCTGCTCCTGCCTTCCTTCACTTACCCTAACAGTTTAGAAGACAGATCTATCCCCAGGAAACTCAGAATGAAGTAACAGCCCAGAAGTCAAAGCTTCAGCAACCAGTATACAGGGAGGTGTTTTTCAGCAAGGCAAAAACAAGGGGTTCCATGCTGCTTGGTGAGAGAGAAAGCTGGGAAATGAACTAGCTCACGGTCTAACTGCAACGTTCCCTTTGACCTCAGAACCGAGGCAGCAGAGTGGAAGCTAGGGTGAGGAAGGGGAAAAATAAGCTCTGTGAAGGGAAAATGTGGTGTTCAGGCAATCCGATTTTAACCAACTTCATGATTCATCAGTTTCCATGAGAGAAAGATACAAGGACTAGTGAGAACAAGTGTGTGTATGTGTCTTCCAGAAAACTGTCAACTCTAATTCTCATCAAGGGTCAAGGTGAGCACATAATTTTCATATGCTAGAACATGCTGGGCACCACAGGCTCCTGAGTGTAGAGCATGGAGGAGCCGCAGTGAGCTAGCTGTGGTGAGGCAGTAAGGGGGTTGGAGCCAATGGCCCGTCCAGGCCACGGAGGAGAAGGTAACTCCAGGTCACTTCCACCAGGCTCCCCGGTGGGAAATCAAGGAAACGAGAAGATGTACTGAAAAAGAGAATGTACAAAATGGCCTCTGTGCCCGCAGAGTGAGTGTGTATCTGTCAGTATACACGGTTTTTTGTTTTTGTTTTTGTTTTTTTTATCAATATCAAAAGCAGGCTTGGCAGTAGCTGAAATCAGCAAAGCATGTAAATTCTTTGTGGATATGAAAGGTGGGGGTTGTTGTTACTGGTTTCCCGTGGTTTTGTTTTTTCTTTTTTCTTTCTGGTGCTGGGCTTGAACACAGTACCTTATGAATGCTAGGGGTGGTGGTTTAAATGAAAACGGCCCCCACGGGCTCACAGGGAGTGGTTCTATTAGGAGGCTTGGCCTTGTTGGAGGAAGTGTGTCACTGGGGGTGGGCTTTGAGGTTTCAAATGCTCAAACCAACCCAGTGCCTTGCTCTTCCTGCTGCCTGCCCAGCTGATGTAGGACGCTCAGCTGCCTCTCCAGCACCACGTCTGTCTGCATGCCACCATGCTTCCTGCCATGATGATAATGAACTAAACCTCAGGAACTGTAAGCCAGCCTCAATTAAATGCTTTCCTTCATAATGTGGAACATGCTCTGGATAGAATGTTTGAAAGCCAGGCCCCCCAGAAAACGCAGGGCCCGTGGCTGCTGTAATCTGAGATTTTTCTGACTTT